TGCGTGCCTGATCCATTTCTTGTTTCCAACCGTTAGTTCGTAATTGACTCCACCATTTCTGCGGATCACCCTTCCTCTTGACCACCTCTTCGGTCCTCGGAACTCTCGCGCGTACCCCCTGTCACCAATTCTGAAATGACACACGCTGTCTGTCCGCCTTTTCCTCGCATGACAACTGCAATGCTTTTCTTTCCTGATTAGCACAACGCGTTTTGCTCTGGATACTGGTTTAGTGACTGGCTTGAGGTTCAGGGCAGCACTGGTGATTCTGCAGCATTCTGGACCAGGTTGGAGCATTGCTTCGTGGCGTCTATTCACCTGTGTAATCTGACTGCCATTGATTTCTATCGTCGCATCCTTAAGTCTGATGGGCACATCTGATTTTGAAGTGGCAGTGTGGCAGAAGTGTTGCTCCTCCATAGCTTCCGAATTTGCGACCACATTTGTAGCAGGATTCAATTTGAGCAACCTCTGACATTCTGAAACAATTTCTTGCGATGTCAGCTTCAGTTTCAGTTCCCATTCTACCTGAATGTTTAATTTTTGTGATAGCACCTCCATGAACTGCCTCTGTGACTTTTCGAACTGCGTCTGCTGCTCCTGCAAAAGTGCCTGCAATTGTTCAAGGCTGACTGTCATTCTGGGTTCAACTGAACTCGCGTCGCCACTGTTGTGACGCTGCCCTTTGCGAAACGGCGAAACGGCTGCAAATCGATCCCTGGGCGAAAAGCTACCAACATACTCGGGTTCGGACGGTGTGCAAACTGACTCGATTCGGAAAGGGAGGTGACAGCTGGGAGAGAAAGCGGATTGCCAACGCTCGCGCGTTTGTCACCAATCGTGTTTGGGAAAGACCTTGCGGGTGTGTTACCAGGGCCCAGCCGAAAGCTGATGAAATCGCGCATCGGACAGCAGGCGTGTTGCCATGCACCGGGTATGCGGATGAAGACTGGAATGCCCGAGCAAGACCATGAACTGGTCAGATGGAGCGGACAAGCATGTGTGGAGCCTGGGCTTACAACCAAATCCGCATGGTGATACCGACATATAACTATGAGCGTTCTCTGTCCTAATGCAACTCTGGTCTGCTGAGTCTTCTTTTGTCTTCCTTCGGTCGGGTTTGCCAAGGCGTCAAACAGAACACGCGTAAGGGCGCAGAGTTAGCAGCAGGTGTGAATCAACCGGTCGATTGCAGGGTAGCGTTATAACAGTACCATAGTCGAGATATGTATGATTTTATAGCAGGTGGGTTTTTAACATTTGGTGTACTTTGTGTGGGCCAGGTAATAAGAACAATGTTCTGTCACACAAAACCAACACAAGATTCGAGGTGTTTTGATGAAAACATGCCAACTCTGTGTAGACCAACCTGTAGTCAGTTGTACACTCTATTCGAAACATGTGGCTTATTCCATTTTTGTGTCGCAGTAACAAGTTTCGAACACAGTTCCGGGAAGCCGGCTGGCTCCGGTTTTCCAAAAACTCGATTCCACTCGGGTTGGTTTGGCTCTAACCCTAACATGTTCCCTCGTCGTTTAGATCCAATTCCCACTTACACTACACTTATTCTGCAGCGTAGCTGCTAGCTAAAAGCTCAAACAAACAACTCACCTATCTTTTGATATTGTAATTTTACCTCCACCGGCTTGCGTGACTTGTCAATCAACAGCATTTTTACCCGACAAAACGCATTGTTCATCGTACGTTTGCTAATAGGCCACTGTGGAATACTTGTGATCAAGTGTTAGCGCACCACTCAGATAAGCGAGAGTTGGATGCAACATCATGTGTCCACGCGACGTATGGACCAAGGGCAACCACCATACAAATGAACTTGACAGTAAGGAGAGGACAAGGGGACAGGCGATCTAGTTGGATGATCGAATTTAGCTGATCATTTGACTCAGTTTCGCCGACAACTATTGCATGTCACTAAATGTATGGTGTACTTGGAAGTTAAAATTATGGCACATGATACGCTAACTTGTCTAAATGAAGGGAAAGATGGAAATACAGGGGAACACATGCAAGTGAAGAAGGGTGCAGATCCTAAAGCGATTAATGCATGGGAAAATAATGTACATAACCCGGGATCCAGTTGCGGTAAAGACTAATCATAACACAGTACAGTTCGATCTGCTTGGTAAAGTAAATGTGGTCAGATTTTCAAAACGTATTAAATGCAGTTGGCGCGAGTCCCGTCACCATGAAAGCAAAGAGAAAAAATTGTGGAAGAATGCACAGAGAAATGTAAGACGGAAAAGAGCAGGGACACGGTACGTTTTAGTCCAGAGCTTGGATAGGGTGAAAATTTGGGTACATATGACTGCACCACCACCAACAGGAAACGCGCCAGTAATTTGAACTTTCCAATGCATTGGTGCGTTATTCGAAACCCGCAACCTTATTACACTCTAAAAGCGCGGTTTCTACTGGTAGCGACCATGCAACATGAATTTACTAATAGCACTGCATAGTTGGGATGAGTTAGCTGACTTTGGAGACGATTGTGATGTAACCTACCTAGATTTATCGGGATAAGTCAACTGCCTGCATCATCATTTTCCCCTTTCCAAACTCCGATAGTCGGGAATCGGGGATTGTAGTTTGAGCTAATTATCTAACTTCCTCGTTAGTGAACCGAGTTTGAAGCTCTCTGTATGATCCTATACCATTCGAATGTGGTATGTAGCAGGGGCCAATTCTGGGTTCATGTGCGTTTTGATTTTCATTAATGACCTAGCACAAATTAAAACCTCAAATTCCTTTAGTTTCCTTGACGACACCAACATAAGGTGCAGACTTCGGGTGAGGACCGACTACGAACCGCCCCAGTGTGGCCTGGATACGGTACATTAGTAAGCAATCCGAGGTCAAGTGCAGTTCTACGTGAACACATGCAAGGTGCTACCCATACGACATCAGAGCGCATACCGTCGCAGTCTGGAAACGCATGTACTGGATCCATCCGCTGTCAAGCGTGAGCAAGGTGCACTGGTTCAGAATGATTTTTGTTGTTCCAATCGGTTTGTGAACACGTCGAAAGTTTTTAGTTGTCACGTCGGACTGTTGAGGCAGGCATTCGGGTACATAAGCATTTCCAACTTCCGTCAAAGGCCTAACGATTATGTTCGCACTCTTTTCGAATACGCAATTCAAGCCAGTGAAGAATGGCTAAAACACGACCTCGCAGCTCTGAAGATCCCTGCCGGGCTTCCGAGTACGTCACTAGAACGCGTAATCTGCCTTGCGAATAGAGGCTGAAGTCCAGGGGAATATTAATTGGACGGTATCATCCACTAGGATGTGAGCTTACTTGATTTTGCACGGTTCAATTTACCTTGACCGCTCTTTACTGCGTCTCGGCAACATTACCAATCTGAGAAGTCACGCCATGAAACTGTAAGAACCCTGCAATTACCTGGAATGCCGTAGAAATTTCTGTGCTCCTCATATGACACATGTGGAAAGCACTCCGCGAATTGGTTGTTTCCCCACCAATACCAACCACCAATTGTCAGGTCGCAGTAGAACTAGTACTGAGTCAAGTATTCCCATGTGTGTCTATGAACCCGGACCTGATACATTATCTTTCGCTCCAATTTTATTTCTTTTCATTTGGTGGACTGCTGCCGCAGAACGAAAGTAAACTATGCCCTACCTCAAATGGCCCTGTTGTCGATTTCATATCAGGCACTATTTGCTCGCCTCTGTCCTGATACTTGTCGACTGGTAACTCTGATGGATTGCACACACACACACACACACACACACACACACACACACACACACACACACACACACACACACACACACACACACACACACACACACACACACACACACACACACACACACACCGCGTACACCCTCTGGATAACCGTTTCCACTTTCCTAGTTCGTATGCTTTGAGGTCAACTAAGTGTCCAGGAAAAAAAGGACCAATGGACTGATTGTGTCCGACGTTCAGTGGCGCCGAACTCCACCCAAGCTACGACAAGACCACAATGCTGACAAGCTGCTTCGACCATGAGCGTCGTCTTGCTTGCTGAAAGCCAGTGTTGCAGGTTTAACCGAGGCAAACTGCTAGTATTCGGATATCCAACTGTTCGTTTGTTTGAGTGGCCCCACGGCATTTTTGTGTTATACTGGATGATCCCGAAAACAATCAAATAGGATATCATAAATGTTTATATTGTACAGTGATTGCCAATCTTGCATTAACCGCAATTACGGCTAGGCATTCGGCATAACCGAAGATAGATAAGGGTGAAACTTCCTATCTTCCGATTAGCAAAGTACACGTTCTAATAACGTAAGCGAAATGTTAAGAAGCCATCTACCGGAGAAGTGTAAATTTCGTGGAATCTTATGTAGTTGGGTACCAGAGTGCCGGATTCAACAGTGCGACCAACATTATCTGTCATTCGCATATTGGTGGTGCCACTTCAGGCGTATAAGGATGTATTTTGCCACGAGATAATTTATGTTAAACCGTTATAGGTTTACCGCCTTGATCTCATTAAACCAAACCCCCAAGGGAGGATTTGTGGAGTCTATTCCACCGCGCTTTTTTAAGATTTTCCGATAAACTTCGATCTCATTGCTCAATGCTTGAGCGATTGGACGCCTGTGATCCCTCATTGGGTGGGAAAATCATAAGTCAAATATGAATCCACAAATTTGTAGATTCAAACATCTGTTACGGGTCAGTGTGGTGGTTGGCGCCGATCTTAGCATGATGTCAGTCTACTACACTCAGCCTCAGCACACTGTGAACGAGTGCATACTAACTACCGAGGGTGACGCATCTAACCTGAGGCTTAGCACATGCCCCCTTGTACAATGCGATTCGGGGGAGCTAAACAGCCGTCGCGTCTTCCGTCACTCCTTACAGCAATCCTCTGTTGATTGGTTCAGTGTTTTACCTGGCTGATGAGTCAACCTTTTCACTCTGCCACCTGATGAGGGACTAGAGAGTTTGAATTATCACGGATTTCAGTCGATCGACGAGTACTTTGGCGGTCGGCCAAATCGCGCACACTTCCTCCGTCCCAGGGCCGTGAAGTGGGCGCCTGTTGGTAGCAGCAATGTTCCATTGCAACGGTAAGTCGACTATTTTCCTATCGAGCACTAACTTTATCGTCGGTTATCGTTCATCATCGGAATGGCCATAAGTCTAAACACTCAGGCAGAATAGAAGCTACTATCATATCACCATCTGATAAAGAGCATTTTGCAATGAGTAGCACTGGTTTGAGACCACCTAGATGGTGTGCAGGTTGACGAAAACGAATGGTGAGTTTTAGTCACTTTCTTGTATGACTGAGTAATCTCACTTTTTATCGCAAACCACACTGGGTTGGATCTCGGTCATTGGAATCAGTGGACCAGACCCGAAATGGTGATATTTTCTATATCAGCGTGCTTGAATTCGTCATAACGAGACCGGACCTTAACATGGTACAACGGTTTGCGTACTTCCTAGACCCCTTGAGTCATACTGGGTAGTGCCACCAAGCCCCTTGAGAGCTACTCCTACCAGGTGGGTCAATAGTTAGAGGTCAGACAAACTCAGTCTCCTGGTCTTTCAGATTGGAGCTATAAAATGGGATGGCGTCCATTTCTGTAGAACTAAATCATTGCCACCTCCCCGATGCCTTGCGGACAGGCTTTTGAGCCAAAGGCTTTGGTTGAGGATCCTAGTCCTCCTGTCTGAGTCTGTGCATCCTGACGGTATCGCAGCCTACATACAACCACTACATTTCCTTCAAAGATAAACTTCATCCTTCATCGGCCGTCGAGCAGATTATCAAGGGTCGCCTTGTCTGCTGTATACAGCTGAACGGTTAAGCGAAGACATGCCACTGCTGGCGCCTCCCGTCATTCTTTTCCATCTTTTTTCTTTTACTCCCATCCTGACCCCCATTACTCGCCTTCCTTCTATACTTCCTAGCTTAAATGATAGCAACCGGTGCCACTGGAGTAGAACCATCCGCAGCCACCTTCCTACAACACCCATGGGATGCCTTTCGGTAGCAGTGCCTCATAAGGCCACGGTGTCGCATTTCGCTGCCGATGTCCAACCTTCGCACTCTAAGACAGATAGGTCAACAGGCTGCACTCGTAAATAAGTTGGACACACTGGGTATTGACGTATGTTGTGTGTCCGAAACTAGAAGCAATGACCCTAATGGGGTTGTTGAATTAACTGTGCCCGGCTTGTCCTCTCGCTATTGGTTGCCCTCATCCGGAGAGGCTGATGCAGCACTCACGCGTCAAGCTGCGGTAAGCATCATTCGAAGCGCCCAGACTGAGCTATCGTTGGTTGGTTGAATTCCGGTGAACAGCCGTCTGCATGCAGCTCGTTTGAGAAAATCGACCAAAGTTGATGCACGAAGCAGTAGAAAACGCCTTGTTTGAAATTTCCGCTTGTGCTCCCGAGGACTGCAGTTCTCATGCTGGCAAGGACACAATCTAGCAAGAACTAAACATGCTAGTACGCAGTGCTATTGGTTCCGATATTCTAGTACGTATAGGTGATACAAACGCACAACTAGGGCGTCTGTGCTCTTTAGAAGCTCAGCTGGGTGGTAATTATGGGCTTAACTTCGAACGGGCCGACAAAGATGATCATCTTTGCAACTGTGTGTGAAGCACCAGGTGGCGTTAGTTACTGGTGGCGTGGGTCCATCTTGGATTGCCACTCGTACTGTGATCCCTGCGTCAACTCTGGTCATGCTTTATTATGTTGTCGTTTCTCCATGAAATTTACTGGCAGACGCACCAAGCGTCTCATCCCATTAGGAACTGCGAAATTGTCTCAGCCCTCGGCCAGGCAAGCCTATCAAGACGCACTGCGTACCGAACTATCGCTGTATTGACTATAGAATTTAAGGCTGGCAGCTCAGATTGTTCAGATGGCGAGTTAACTGTTCGCTGCGTTTGGCAATTTTGCTGCGAACGTTTCGTCACTAATCGAGGTGACGTCATCGGTGCGTAGTTGAGTGGCGTGCAGGAGCGTAGCGTAGCGTAGAGCAGTCTCAGTGAGAGTGCTCTGAGCGTGGTGTGCGTGCATTTTTGTACCCTCGTGATTTGCCGTGGAGCCGAGCAATCCTATTGGTTGGGACTTCGATCCGCGTTCAGCTTGGTTGATGGGCAGATGATCTTTGACCTTGCTTACTTGTGTTTCGTGGCCTTTGTCTGCATGCGCCTGCGAGCGAGTCTGCCGTTCGTTCTGGTTCTCTAGTCACACGTTCCACCGGATTCAATCGATCGAGTTGGCTGTCGTTCGCCAGTAGTGTTGCCTATACTGCGTCAAGTGCGATGTGTCGATTGATTGAATGCGTTGTAGAGTACCAGGCTTCCAAAAGCTCTCTCCTGTGTTTTGTACTTCCATGTGCTAAGATCTTTACATTCTCCAGATCGAAACGGTGGCCTTCTTGATCTCCATGCGTAGAAATCAATAAGTGCGGGTTGTGTATTCCGACGGTCGCCTTGTGCTCAGTGATTCGTGTACCAAGCTTTCTTCCATTTTGTCCGATCTAGTTTTAATCGCAGTCGCTGCGTTTTAGCTGGTAGGTAGCATTGCAATGGTCGGCTTGACTGACTTTTCCTTTGGATCTTGAAGTCAATTTCCTGAGGGTGGCACTTGGCTTGTGCGCCAAAGAGATTCCATATGACAGTCTCAGGGGTATGACTGCAAATATCGGGGTCGGCGGTGACAACATTTATGTCGTACTTGTGAACAAAACGATCTAAGTGGCCTGCGCAACTTTCCACTGAACTCTGGGTTGACCGTAGCTTCCCTGGTTGAAAGTGTTGATTTGCGCGGCGCTCCACTGGGAGCGCTAATACCGAATACGACAGCAGCAATTTTGTCGCAAGCTGAGAAGGCAATACGTTTTTACAACAGACATCACTTACTGTTAGGCTATGATTGAGCTAATGTAAGTAGAATGTGATAAGGTGACAAAATATCTTCCTGAAAAGCACCCTAGTTAGCGATTAGTGTTTAGGCGCACTTGCCACTGACTCGGATAATCTGGATACGTCTAGTAAAATGATCTCTTACCAAATACATTATGATAGGAATTATTCTTTGTATGAGTAGATCTTTCGACAACATTTCGCGGTTTACACAGCAGAATGCATTGTTGTACTCAAGAAAACGCTTAAAATTTGATCTGATTCTTTTGTCAAGTAATGGCGGTATAGAACGTACGAGGTGGGCCACTGCGTCTACGGTAGATATCCAACTACAATAAGTATTTGTAAGGGGGTCTTTCGAGAGGGTTTGGGCCAGCATCGTTTTAAGAATGATTTCCTCTTGAAGCTTCTGGACAACAGAATAGCAATCGACAAATCGACATTTGTTGGACCCTTTTTCTTGGTACAGGTGCGATGCTACTGTTCCCAAGAATAGACTAGATATACACTTGTTGGAGACGTGTAGCTCTTCCTTGGTTCCAATAGTGGGGTAACTCACTGAGATGCCGTCTTTTTCCTTAAATGCACTCTCCTTAAGTCGACCCAGCCTCTTCAGATGGGGGAGGTGAACCTGTCTGCGCAGACGTTGAGAGATTTTTAAAGGACAGTTGATGTCAAAACAGCAATTTAGATAGCCATTCAAGTCGTCACAATACGTGGACATATCAGAGTCAAAAGATACACATACGTATGTGGATGCAACAATTCCACGCGCTCGATCGAAATTTTGTGAAAAGTCTTGCCTCCACATGAATCTACTTAAAGCAGCTCAATATTAGCCCCCCCCGCTGAAGCAACCCTAATAAACTATGCTAATGACATCTTTCGGGCTATCAACCCTCGAAACACCGATTGCTCTATCAAGATTTGGTCCAAAGTTCGTCATCTGTCTCTTAATGCATCGGGGTGTCATAATATGTTTTTTCGCTACACGTAAGAGCCTGTTACGTACAGCTCCCTACGCAGTGCTCCACGCAGCTTAGCGACAGTGATGGATTTCACGCAGATACATCAGTAAAGAACGTAGGTATGGTACTTGTAGTTCTGCCAGATGACTGATTGACAAACCTTGTACGCGGACGACATAACTCACTTTGGATCTGACCCAGGGGCTATGCAAGGAAAGGGAATCGACTAGCGTGTAACGCTGCACGCTTTGGCGTGTGATTTGCATCTTCAAAGTGCAACGTGTTGTGACATCATTGGTCCGATCAGCCACCTGTGTTGGCTGTCCTCAGAAACGGGTAACTTCACAGGCCAACCGCAGGGTACAAAACATAGAAATAATAAGGGTGATTTACTAGAACGGTCAAACGGTTTGTGCGACATTGGTGCATTTAAATAACCCACTCACAACAAATAAGAGGACTTAGGGTATGAAATCGACTTGGTTAATGTCGAAATCTTTAGGAAGGGTTTGCGATCCGCACTCCAAAGGCTAACTGCTGAGGTGTCGGAACTTGCCAAAGCCAACGGCTGCTTAGACAGAGTGGCTGTTGGGTAGTTATCGAGTATGTGGCGAGTTGTCTCAACCGGTCCATCGCAATGAGGTTGGACCTTACCGTGGTGCGATGGTTTGTGTGCCTCAGCGATCCATTGAACTATGCTGGGTGGTGCTTCTGTTGCACCTTCAGAGCCACTCATAGCAGATTGGTCAATGGGTAGACGCCAAACAAACTCAGCCTCCTGGTCCTCCAGGTTGGGGGTTGGAAAGAGGTGACTCCTTATTCCGTAAAATGAACTCCTTGTAGCTCACCACCAAACCCGCTGCCTTGCGGTCAGGTTTTTGAACCAAAGGCTTTGGTTGAGAACCCTAATCGTTCTCCTGTCTAGGCCTGGGCAACCTAACAGCATGCTGCACAAGCCTTACAATGAATTGCTCTTCAAACAGTTTCCTGATGCTCTGGCCACCGCAGAGGATACTCAACGGTGCCCTATCTGCTGCATCGAGCAGGGTGGATAGGGGTTTAGATGTTACTGTTCAAGCCTTCCCATCTTCTTATTCCCCACCTTACGCTTTTTCTCTTACCATCCCGTTCCAGCTTCACTTTATCCCCCCCAGTTTTCAACCCTTGATTCTTGGCCCTCCCCCACCTTGCTTTGCTCGGCTTTTACCT